AGGGCTGACAAAGGGGCGGGGGGGGCAGCTGCTGCCCCTAGTCCTGCTCTACCTCCCTGGGTGCCTTCGCACCCCCCGGTCCTGCCCCATGGCCCCTAGGCACCCCCTGAGGACTCCTCCTGTTGCTGCTGTCTTACGGCTCTGAGCACCCCTGCGCCCCCCCAGTCCTTCCCCAGTGCCCCAGCACCCCCGGTCCTGCTGAGTCCTGTTGTGCCGTTTGCTCCCCCCGCGCTGCGCTGCTCCCGGTGTGATCCCCCCGCCAGCGCCCACCACAGGTGTTTGTGCGACGAGGGGGCACAATGAGCAGCGGTGATGACTGCACTGGAACAGAGCAACCTGCCTGCCCATCTGCCGTGCCCATGGGCTGGGAGCGCAAGGTGGAGGAGGGCTCCGTGTGCTACATCAGGTAGGAGCAGCCCCCGATGGCCCCACACCCCTCTCCCCGACCCCCGCTCACCCCTTGTGCCCCCCAGCCCCAGCGGCACCACGCTGACCTCGCTGGAGCAGACCTGTGCTTACCTCCTGGCTGACGGGACCTGCAAGTGTGGCCTCGAGTGTCCGCTCAACATGCACAAGGTGCGGGGGGGGGTGTCCCGTGCGGGACAGGGCCGGGCAGCTGCGGGGGCTGCACTGGGGGCACTCCCCGAACACAGGGAGCTGCAAGGGATGGCTCTGGGTGCAGGAGGCAGGCGCATGGCTGCCCAGTGCTGGGCGGGTCTGGAGGTCCCTGTGAGGTGGCCAGTTGCCGCTCTCAGCCTGCCCTGTCCCTGCAGGTATTTAACTTTGACCCGGGGGTGACGGTGGCTGCGCGAGGAGCCCCTGGGGCCCAGAGCCAGCAGGACATGACCAAACTCTGCAATCACCGCCGGAAAACAGCGGCCATGGCCACGCTGTACCGCAGCACGGAGGGCGCCCTGGGCTCCTGCCGCCCAGACACAGGTACCAGGGTCCCCTGTCCACACCAGTCCCTGGCCCATCCTCCCCCAAGTTCCTGCTGGTGTACCCACCTTGTCTACGTCACCCCGTGTGTCTCCTGTCCGGTCCCAAACCCTTCCTGTTTCTCTTGTATGTCCTGGGTTCTTGCTACCCATCCCAGTCCCCTCGGTGCCCTCCTGGCTTCCCTGTGTTTCCTAGGGCTCCCCCATCTTCTCTATCATGTCCTGCACCCCCTAATCTTTCCTGTCCCCTGCCTTCCCAATCCATTCCAGTTTAGGGATAGGGGTGCCTAGGCCTTGCTGGTGCCCGCTTGACCCCCATGTCCCCATGGTTCCCTGCAGGTCCTGGCCTAAGCCCGCTGTTCTCAGCAGAGGGGCACCTGGCCATGGCCCCCAGCACCGGCATCCCCCTGCCCAGCACTGTCGGCAGCTTCCCCAAGGTCCCCCTGGGGGCGAAGACCCCGGAGGCCACATCTGCCCCCACGGGGACCTGGCTCGTCGCCCCGCCCTTTCTACAGCCTCACGACAGTGTCCCTGGGGCCAACGGCAGCCCCAAGAGCTGCCCACCTGCCAGCCCCTGCTTTGGCCTCTGCTTGCCCCCACCGGATGCGGTGACCCCCCCCAGATCCCCTGTGGTGCCCCTCGCCGAGGGCACGGGGAGCCAGCGCCCCACAGGCAGGACTAGCAGCTGGGCAGCCCTGTCGCAGGGGGCAACTGGAGAAAGCCCAGAGCCGGGGGGGCCGGGGCCGTGCCTGCCGGCCACCACCAGTGCCCCCCAGACAGGCAAGGTCGGTTCTCCTGTCAGCGATGCCTTAACCAGCCAAAGCAGCAATAACCCACTAGTGCCCTTAGATGATGCCCCTGAGGGCAGGGGCTTTTTGGGGCTGCCACCAGCGGGCACCCACTTCCCCGCCAGCAGCCTGCTGAGCCTGGCTGCCAAGGTGCAGCTGGGCAGCCCTGGCCCAGTGCCTGCCCCGAGCACTTTACCCCCATGCCCGCTCCCGCCCGGCACGCTGCTCTCTCTCGTGGGCGAGCGAGCCCCGGGCTGGGGGGCCCAGTGGCCCCAGCGCACTGACCCCCAGGACCTGGCAGCTCACAGAGTGCCCCCCGAGCCCAAAGGGATGCACCCCCCACTGACCGCTCAGCCTCTCGCAGCCCTGCTGAGCCTGCTGGCTACTCAGGGCTGCCCTGTGCGGGGAGGCCCGGGGGGGCCCAGCCTCCCCCTGGGCCCCCTGCCTGCCACCAACGGCTCGCCCTGCCCTGGCACCGGGCTCCTGCCCACCGTTCGGGACTTCAGCGGGCAGCTCCTGGGTCTCTTCGGGCAGCTGGCAGCATCTTCCAAACCCACCTCAGGGACATCCCCGCGGTCAAAAGCCTCTGGCCGTAACGGCAGCCCAGGTATGTGTAGCTGTGCCCACGGGGCCAGGCAGCTGGTGGGGAGCAGGGCTGCGGCAGATGTCGTCTCATCAACTGGGGATGGCCCCTGCCCTGGGGTGGCTGCAGCAGTGGTGCTGCGAGGGTTCCTGCCCCCAGGGAGCCCCTTGTGGCTGTGGGGCTGGGTGGGAGGCAGTGGGACCCAGTGGGACGTGGCCATGGGTCCGTGCTGTGGGTGGTAGGATGTGATCATGGATCTCATGGGATGTGGTGGGACCTGGAGGGATGTGCCCATAGGTTCATGCTGGGGGTGGTGGGATGTGGCTGTGGGTCTTGTGGGATGTGGTGGGACCCGGTGGGACCTGGCTGTGGGTTTGTTCTGGTGGTCGATGAGATGTGGCTGTGGATCTGGCAGGATGTGGCGTCCACGGGCCTGCAGCAGACGTGGCTGTGGCAGCCCCGTGCTCTGACCCATCCCCTGCAGGTGCTACGGCTTCTCCAGGTGTCCCCAAAGGTGCTGTGGCCCCAGGGGCTGGCAGTAATGGGGAGGGGCGTGCTGGGGGGGCGCTGGGCTGCCTGCTGTCCCTTGCAACCAAGCCTGTAGCCTTTGTGGGGCAGGAGCAGGCACTGGCACTGGGGGGCTCCCTGCCACCGGGCCTCCTCCTGGGCACGCTGCTCTTCTCGGTAGCCCTGGGCCAGCACCCACCAGCCTGTGGGGGAGACCCCGAGGGGCCCAGTCTGCCCTCCCTGCTGGCAGCCTCTCTGCTCCCGCTTCCCCTGCTGCCCTTCGGCATCCCCCTGCCTGCCCTGGACCTGCTGCCCTCGCCAGGGACTCTGCTCTCCACCCTGCTGCCCCTGCCCCCCGGGCCAGGGGAGAAGGGCCCTGAGGCTCCGGCGCCCAGCCCTGAGGACTGCGCGGTGCTCCCCGACCGGCCCCTGCTCTTCTCCACACTGCCTGCCTCGCTCGCCCTCCAGGCCGCATTGCTCGCCACCGGGCTGGGCCCCTCTGAGCCTGCTGCTGCCGTTCCCCCGGTGAGACCGGGCCCTTTGCTCCCTGGGAACGGGGGAGGAGAGTGATGGGACGGTTTATTTGCGCCTTGCAGGGAGGAGGGTGATGAAGGGGAGTTTTTCCCCTGCTAAGTAAGGAGGGTGATGGATGAAGCTATTTCCCCCCTCTAGGGGGGAGGGTGATGGTACCTGGGGGGATTTGCCCCCACCGATGTGTGGTGTTGGGTGTGTATTTAACTCTGGGGAAGAGAAAGGAGCACATTTGCCTGTAGTGTAGTAGCAGGGGAACATCATCCCCAAGGCACTGGCAGGAGGGGTATTTGCCCCTGGGATGAGGGCAAGGAAGGATGTTTGCACCAGGGAGAAGAGTGGTGGAAGGTATTAACACCCAGACTGAGGTAGAGGAGGAGTAGCTGCCCCTGGGGAGGAAGGTGGGGATATTTATGTGCCCCTGGGAGAGGAGGGTGTAGAAGGGTGCCTGCCCCAGGGCATGGGAGGAGGACGAGGAGGATGGGTAGGTTTTGTCCTGGTGGCGAGGCCTGGGGGTGTCTCTGCCTCACGTCTTGGGAGTGCCCCCAACCTGTCTGTCTTGCCGGCAGTCCAGCCTTGCCAGCCCCTCTGTGGCACCTACCTCAGCTGGCGCTCCCCCCATGACTACTGAGGCCCCATGCCGGGAGGGCTGGGCCCCCGACAGCCCCACAGGCACCCCGGAGTACCTCAGCCTGCTGGGGCCCCATCTGGGCAGCTCTCTGCTCGGTGCCGTGCTGCTGGGTGAGTGGGGCTGGGGGACTGGGCACCTTGGGGACACCCCTGGGCATTGGTGGAGGGACTACTTGAATGAGGGGTGCTGGGTGCCCAGGGGACACCGGAGGCATGCAGGGGGGCAGGGGGTTCCCCCAGAACCCGGGTAACATCCTGCCTCTCCCTCATCCCCCCCCAGGCAACCTCCCGGTGCTGAGCCCACTGCTCCAGAATCAGCCACTGCCACCCCTGGGACAGTCGCTGGGCCCGGGCCAGGGCTCCCCCTTGGGCACCACCAGCCCCCGGGCCAGCCTGCTCCAGAGCCTGCAGGTGGGCTGCTGGGGTGGGGATGTGAGGGGCTGGAGGGGCCCTGGGATTCTGGGGGGGACGTGGGGATGGTGGCGCCAGGAGGTGTTGAGCAGTAGTTTGTGAAGGGCGTGAGAGGACACGGGGAAGGATAGGGGGAGGCCTAGGGTTGTCAGAGGGGGGTAGCGGAGGGACTTGGGGACCATGCAAAGTGGGGGGGTGTTAGGAGGTTGAGGGGCTTTGGAGGCTTGGGGGTGTTGGTATGACATGTGAGTCCTGGGGAGACACAAAGGGAACAGGTGAACATGGAAGTGCAGGGAGAATACAGGGACACGCAGGGATGGGCTGGGCAGGAAGGAGGGTATGGGGGTTGTATGGGACAAGGGGTTTGCTGACCCTCGCTGCCCCCCGACAGCTGGGCCCCAGGTTTGGCTCCCCTGAGAAGTTGGCAACACCGTTGGCTCCCAGTGCTGGAGGCTCCCCCAGCCCCCCTGCACCTCCCGGCCTCCCCGAGGGCACCCCAAGTGCCTTAGAGCCCCCTGTGCCCTGCCAGGCTGAGCTGGGCAGCTCCAGACCCAGTGGGGGTGCCCAGGGGTGCCCCACCTCACGACCCCCCCTCAAGCGAGGCCGCCGGCGGGCTGAGGGGCTCAACAGGCAGACACCGTCCCTTTGTGAGCCCCCCAGCACCAAGAGCCCCCGGCGTGGGGGGGCCTGGGGCACTCAGCAGCACTTCAACGGGTGTGCGGGCGACAGGGGTGAGAAGGGGCTTCCCCCCGCAGCGCCCCCAGCCCACCAGCCTGCCTGGCACTGCAACGGGGACATCCCGGCCACTGAGCAGCAGCTCAGAGTGGAGATCAAGGTACTGGAACCTACTGGGAGCTATTGAGGAATACTGGATCCTGCTGGGGGGATACTGGGAGCCCTTGGGTTGGATATAAGGACCCACTGGGTGCCAGTGGGGATATACTGGGAGGCACTGGGTACAACCTTTGGGTGCTGTTACGGATATACTGGGGGCCATTGCATGCCACTGAGGAGGCACTGGGAGCGTATGCTGTGGTGGGGCATATCATGGGGGAGCAATAGAGAGATACTGGATCCTCTGGGGACATTGCGGAGCCCTGGGGAGGGCAACTGGGAGGGCACTGGGAGTAGGTGCTAGGGTGAAGCCAGGACTGTGGGAGCTGTAGGGAGGCACTGGGTGGACTGGGAGACACTGGGGTACTGGGAACATCCATGCTGACCGCCTCCTCACACAGGGGAACTCCATGCATCTGCGCCCATCCTGCCGGGGCTGGAGGAGGAAGGCCAGGTGAGCACAGGGGACACGGGGGGGGCCTGCCACATCCCCCCACCCCGCCTGACCCCCTGGTCCTTGCAGCGCTCCCCAGCCCAGCGCCCGCCTGGAGACACTGCAACGGAGGGGGCTCAGCGCCAGCCCGGGGGACAGCCCCACCGTAAGTGGGGACAGGGGCATCGGGGGGGAAGTGGGGGGGTGTGAAGAAGAGGGGAAGGGAGACTGAGGGAGGGGTGGGGGAGACACAGGTGTCCACCCCCACCTCCTCCATGATCTGCCCCCCATAGGCGGACCTGGCCATGGCTCGGCGCCCGTGGCCTGGGCGCCCTGTCAAGAACCGCCGGAGGAAGCTGCTGACATGACAGTGCCGGGGTGGGGGCACCCCCAGCACCCACCTATGGATCGGGGGGGTCGCAGCCCCACCCCACCACTGCAGGCCACAGGCACCCCCAGCACATCTCGTCTTGGCTGCGAGCGTGTCGCGATCGGCTGGGTTCCCCCCGGCAGTGGGGGGGAGGAAGCTCTGCTGGAGCGGGGGGGTCACTCCAAGCACAAGGCAACAGCCCCCTCCCCAGACAAGCACTTCTGAAGCCATTTTCCATATGGGGGGGGGGTCAACGGTGCCCCTTCCCTCGGGGAAGCCCCCATGCTGGGGGGAGAGGATTGGTGCTAAGGGATGCACCCAGGGGGGCCCTCTCTGCCCCAGGGGGTGTGCTGCCCCCCCCCAGTTACCTCCGGCCTGGTGTCGCAGCCCCAGGGCCAGATCTGCTCAGGGTTAGTTTAACACGAGGTTCTCACTCACCAAAAATGAGGTTCCCCCCCCTTCCCATCCCCCGGTACCAGCAATAATAATCTCTGCCAGCTTGGGGGGCCCGCGGGCTCCTGCCCCGGGCTGTCCCCACCTACTCGGGCTGGTCCCCATCCCCACACACACACACTACCCCCTACGCCACGCGGGGGGGCAACGAGGCAACGTTGCCTCTGTGGGTCGCAGCTTTCCAGCGGAGCGATTGGAGTCAGTACGACGAGGGGGCTGGGGGTGGATTTCGGGGGGGGTTATGCACCATTAAAAGATGCATTTAAAACCAGGCGGCTGGGCCCCGCTCACGCCCTAAGGAGATGCTGATGTAGACATGCTTTGAGCTGAGATGTCTGTTGATATAAATTCAGATACTGGGGGGGGGACACACACAGAGATCCCTGCTGGGTAGGAATGGAGGGAAGGAGGATTCCCAGGGGCTTGCAGGGCTTGGGTGGGACAGGGATGTCTGGGGGGCCTCTGGGGTACTCCTCACTTCTGCATCCCCTTTATGCAGGCTTCTGTGTCAGCCACCTTGTTTTCTGTGATGGCTGGGTTTTCCATCATTCTGTCTGTAATCTGGAGGGGGGTGAGGGGGGAAGGAGGGTGAGCAGGGGAGGCAGGATGGGGATCCCATCCACCCCAGTGGGTGCTGGCGGGACCCACCTCTACCATCAGCACAGCGTTCTCCAAGAGCATCAACTGCTCCCTGCACGGTGTCCAGGACCTGCCCAAACTGCATAAGAACAACCTTCGTGGCTGGGAGGGAGGCGAAAGCTCAGTGCTGGGTGGTGCTGGTGTCCCCCTGCAGATGTCCCTGGCCACATCACACCCCTGTCCCCAGCATCCCCTCCAGCCTCTCGCCTTGGTCGTGCAGGGCCCTGAGGGTCACCAGTCTCTCCTGAGGTGGGCTGTCCAGTTGGGGTGGGGCCAGCAGTGCGCCGCTGCAGGTAGATTCCAGCATTAGGGTGGCCAAAGGACAGGTTCTTACCTCCTCCTTGTGCTTCCCAGAGGTGAGAAAGTCAGAGCTGGGAGAGGGGAGAGAGACAAAAGGTTGGAAGGTTTGTCCCATGCATGGCTCACCGTCACCTGCATCCCCGCGCCCAGGACTGCGGCCGGGGTTGCCCACCAGCCCTGTGCAAGGGCTTAGGACCCGTACGGGGGGGTGGGAGGGAGCAGCAGGGTCAGTGGCTGCGTCAGCTGGCGCAGCAGTGGGCTGGGCCCCTTGGCCAGTCACCCCAGGACTCACAATTTCATACTCCCCAGACTTGTATCCTGGTATCCTGGTCTTGCTGATGCTGTCAGAGAAATGTGGAAGAGGAAGAGCAGGGGTTTGCCCCAAAATACCGAGGGTGGCTGTGCCCTCCGTGGAGTCGGCTCAGTGACCCCGGATCCTCACAGACCACCCTTCCCCAGCCCCCCTGGCTCACCCCCGCACTCGGTGCCCAGGCATTTGTCCCTGAAATTTTCATAGGCAGCGTTAGGGTTGATGATGAGGTGCTCCACAAAGATGCTGATGAGCTCCTGCACACGGTGCCCCGTGTTAAGGAGGAGGCAGCCACCAGGGTTTGTCGGCAAAGCAACTGCCTCTCTGCTCCAGCCTTTAAAGAAGCTGCTAAAGCAGGGTAATGTTCACCATTTTGTTACTAATAACAAAGCAAAATCCTCTGTCATGGAGTGTCTTCATGGGATGCTAAAAACCAAGACGTGGAGCTACTTTGCAGCCCACAGCACCTTTTGCTACATTGAGGTGCTGTCAGAGTTTATAAAGAGCTGTAACCAGACCTGTCAGAGCCAGGCCTGTGGCCGTGAGCGCTTCAGACTCGGCAAGGGTTTGGAAAACCAGAGATGGGAGGGTGTTTGAAACTAAAGAATCTGCACCTCTGCTCCGAAAGGGAGGCCACATCAGGGTGCCTAGAACAAGCGAGAGATTTGAGAAAGGTTGTGAACAGATGTTCACAGGTGACATTTTCACAGTAGTGGGAAGTGTGAGAAGGGGAGAGACACCTGCGTACCACTGAAGAGACATTCCCATGCATCCTGTTATTGGATACCAGGGAGGAGAGATCAGCACCTCCTTCTCCATGTCCCCTCCTCAGGAAGCTGCAGAGGGCCGTGAAGTCGCCCCTCAGCCGCCTTCTCCAAACTAGAAAAGCCCCGAGTCCCCTGCCGCTCCTCATAGGACATTCCTTCCAGTCGGGTCACCAGCTTTGTTGCCCTCCTCTGGACGCATTCAAGGACGTTCACATCCTTCTTAAATTGTGGGGCCCAGCACTGCACACAGTATTCAAGGTGAGGCTGTACCAATGCTGAATACAGTGGGATAATCACCTCTTTTGACCCGCTGCTTATGCTGTATTTAGTGCACCCCAGGATGCGGTTTGCCCTCTTGGCTGCTTTGTGAAGAATGGAGAGCCCTTGCAGTGCTCAGGAGAACGCCTGTTACAGCTCTGTCACAGGGAATAAAAGAGCAGTCTTAAAAACCCACCACTGCCTTCGATAGCAAAGCCCCAAACTCAAGTACTTAGAAATATTAATAACCAGAATTAGTATACCTGATATTAGGAGGCCATTTATATATATTTAAACTAAAACACAGAGATAGCTGTTATGATGGCTTAATTACGCATTTGAATATCTGTACTCTTTGAAGTATTCCAGGTATGTCAGCTATCCCATCTGTCTTCAGATCTCAATTTTTGAATCAAGGATTTCTGATGGCTTGGGATGAACAGTGCAGTGTGGTACAAATGGCAGTAAGAACTTTCTTTCAGGCCACATCTCAATCAGCTTTTATCAGATGATAATTGCTGTACCGTGAACCCAACCTCTGGGAAGTCCAAGTGTTCATTTGAAGGCATGTGAAATTCCCCCCAAATTAGGCAGCAAATATCCCCTCTTCATTGGCTGGACAAGAAACAAAAGAAAAGCCAGAAAATCATTAAATGGGACCTAACAAGCACAGGGATTCAATAGTTTAAAAAAAAAAGTAATAACGCTCAGTGAAACCAACTCAAAACAATACTAAAGTTAATCACCAATCTGGAAATCATTTATTTTTGTGGCGATTCATACAGTCTACCTGTCTGTAGACAAGTCTTTGGTCTACTTCTGAAGCAAATCAGAAGACAAATGCTCAGCCAGGAAAAAGGCATGCCACCACTTTTTGTTCATGTGTCTTTCTGGTTTCCTTTTATAGCATCAGAAAGTAATTATTCTTTTAGCAATATTTAATTAGTGGAAAGACTAGTAAATCATTCAGTTTTCTGTACATCCCACTAGTTTTGTTTTCAATAAACTTTTACAGTGTATTAGCCTTAATCACTTTATGCAGACAGCAACGTACAAGTCCTCGACAGGCAGAGGTCCACCTGTAAAGGCTGGCTGTGACACTTAACTCACCACAGAAATGGGAAGGTGGAAGGCATTGGAGGAGCTGGTCCCTCTCCTGGCAGAAGCTGTCAAACTCCAGGCAGGCAGGGGGTTTTGTGAGAATCTGCAGAGTTGTAACACTGAATTAGGTCAGGGAATTGCCTTTTTGTGCTGGGGCATTGCCAGCTGCTGATGGCAGTGAACTGCAGTGCTTCAGAAGAGGCTGTAGCTCCACGTGGCTTAGTCGAGAGGCAGTGACTGTTTAAGCACTCCCCCGAAACCCTGTGTGCAGGTGCTGCAGACAAGCCCAGGGCTGCTCAGACACATATGCATTTTCACACGGTGCTATTGGAGGTGCGTGGTGGAAATGATGAGCCGCCAGGGGAGGGTGGCTCGCTCTCTCGAGTCATGCTGCTGTCATGGCCTCCCTCCCTGCCTCGCTCCTCCCAGTGCTGGGGCCAGCCGCTGTCCCCAGGCCGGGCGGAGCTGCTGCAGGCACCCAGAGCGCTGGACCACCTCCTCTGCCTTCCTGACTGCCCAGGGATGTTCTGTAGCCCACGGCTGTCCGGGCACCGAGGGAACGTGCTGCTCGTGGTGAGCAGCTGGGTGGGGGCTGCTCCAGGTCATAGAATCCTAGAATGGGTCGGGTTGGAAGGGACCTTTAAAGATCATCTAGTCCAACCCCCCCTGCCATGGACAGGGACATCTTTTGCTAGAGAAGTTGCTCAAAGCCCCGTCCAACCTGACCTCGAACACTTCCAATGATGGGGCATCCAAACTTCTCTAGGCAACCTCTTCCAGTGCCTCACCACCCTTATGGCAAAACAGCTCTTCCTTATGTCTGAGCTAAACCTCCCCTCTTTCAGTTTAAAACCGCTGCCCCTTGTCCTGTCACTACAAGCCTTGCTAAAAAGTCTCCCTCCGTCAGTCTTCTAAGCCCCCTTTCTATATTGAAAGGCTGCAGGAAGGTCTGCCCAGAGCCTTCTCTTCTCCAGGCTGAACAACGCCAGCTCTCTCAGCCTTTCTTCCTGGCAGAGGTGGTCCAGCCCCCGGATCATTTGTGTGGCCCTCCTCTGGACCCGCTCCAACAGGTCCGCATCTTCCTTGTACTGGGGTCTCCCGAGAGCTGGACGCAGTGCAGCAGGTGGGGTCTCCCGAGAGCGGAGTAGAGGGGGAGAATCCCTCCCTCCGCCTGCTGGCCGCTCTTCTTTGGATGCAGCCCAGGATACGACTGGCTTTCTGGGCTGCAAGGGCACATGGCCAGCTCATGTCGAATTTTTTGTCCAGCAGGACCCCCACGTCCTTCTCCGCAGGGCTGCTCTCATTCCCTTCATCCCCCAGCTGGCTTGTGCAGCTGCTTGTGATGTAAATGCTCTTTCTGTAGCTGTTAGGGCAGAAGCAGTCCCCTGGCTTCTGCCGGCGCTTGCGATGTCACGTGCACCTGAATAGGCGATAGGGCAGGGTGTCGCGAATCCTGATTTAGGATCCTGCCGACTACGCAATTTGTCATGGACGGGTGCTGTAGTCTGCTTAAAGCACCACTGTCCAACGTGTCAGCAAAAGTGGGTTTACTGAAATATGGCATTGTAAAAGTGCGACTGAACAAAGTTCCGTGGCAAGGTTCACTCCATTACTTACAGCACAAAAGATAGAACAATATTTCAAAACTACCGAGACAGAATCAAAGTTACCAAGACAAAATCAAAGCTACCAAGAAACAAATCGGTTCCCAAGATCCAAATCCTAGTTAGCATAATACAAGGTGATGCACGATATCAGTCACGTACTAAAGATCTGCCATTGGTGAAAGGTCTCTCAGCCTTGAGGAGCAACCTTGAGAGGTATCCCAGCTCGAGGGGAGATCACCACCATGCAGCCATGCTGCTTAGCAGGGAGAGCTCAAAGGCGGCTCACTTTTAGGCTGTCATATTTATGGGATAAAGTGATTGGCTTGTAGTCAAATTGCGTGCAATGGAAAAGGTATGCATGAGACTCCTTGTGCGCACAACTTTGTTCATTGATAAATGAGTCTTAGAAAAGCCACAATTCATTAATTGCACGGTCGGTGTTTCAAGCTCATATGCTTCGATGCTCACTGTTCCTTTGTGAGTTTTCAGAGAGCAGATAGGAACTAGAGAAGTTCTTGGCCTGGTTACGGCTTAGGCCTTTACCTCCTTTCGAGCCTGTACCAAAGTACCGCTAAGGTTAAGGAGTCGAGTGCATCCATCACACAGAAGCAGGCCCCTGGCTTGTGCAGCTGCTTATGGTCTCATTGATGGCTGAGAAGCTGATAGGGCAGGAGCATGGCTTCCTTACAGAATACCAAGTTAGTTTATCTGTGAACATTTACATTGTTTTGGAGCTTGCATCGCTTGATAAACACCATCGCAGAATAAATCTACATTGTAATGTCTCCTTATGATAGGTTTCATGTAAGGGGTTTTAAATTATTTTAGTAAGAAAAAACAAACAGCATATTGTACCAAAGACTATTATCTCTTGATTACACTCCAGTTTTACGTAAGGATATAGTTCAGTCCATGTACAATTCATAAGTAACAAATCACTTTCTGCTTCCCTGTTGTTGAATTTTTTACACAAGATTAGGAAGGCCACAGCCAATTCACTAGCTCTGTGTAGGTTTCCAGCTGCGGGTAATTTTGTCTCTGCAGTGGTGGATGTTCCCTCGGTGGCAGGAGGGTTTCCTGGTTCCAATTCTAGACCGGTCAGAGCTTTCCGGTGGGAATGATGGATCCAAGTTGATTTTTCACCTTTACTGCTGAGAAAGGTTAGCAATACCAAAAATGGTCCCTCCCACCAAGGAGATAAGTTATCCTTTCTCTTATGTACTTTTACCCAGATGTAATTCCCTAGATTGAAGGGGTGCAGAGCCCCTTCTAGAGGTACTGATTGTATTAGCTGTGCCCGGGCCTGATTGTATTTTAATAATTTCTGAACCTGTAAAATACATTGGGTCACATTTTCATTTCCCACTAATAAACTTACATGAGCAGGTACATCAGTTCTGAGGAGTTGTATCAGTCTTTTGAACAGTATTTCATAGCGAGACAGCTTTGTTGTTTGTTGAGCTCTTTGCTAAATATTCATTAAGGCTAAAGGTAGCGCATGCAAGATGCGGTTACTTGTTTGGCTGCGGCATAAATTCCTGGCATGAGCCATTTCTTCATCACTGTCTGGGCTACTGCTGTGTCCCCAAAATGCCCCAGATAGTGATGCAATTTTACCATGGGAATCAGGTATTGCTTACGTAAAATAGGAAGGTTTTCTGTACCTGATGTCCCCATTCCCTGGGAGTCTTTGGTTGCTTCATACCTTTTCCAAGAGTCAGTTTCTTCAGCAGGCTCAGTCAAGTACATCTTTCCAGGAGTGAGCAACACCAGGTCGGACTGTTGGACTGCTTGTAAGCCCAGTGGTTTGTATGGCAGTTGTGCTGCAGCTGTAGCTGCAACATCCGCTAGAGCATTTCCTATTTCTTCTTTTGCCCTTTCACCAGTATTGGCTGGCTGATGAACGATAGCTAGTTCCTTTGGAAATTGTATAGTTTTTAACGGTTTTAACTCCCACTAGAAATTACAAACGCACGCTGCTTCCGTAACTGTGCAGTGGCGTGGCATACTCCAAATGCATACCGAGAATCAGCATAAATATTTACAGGTTTTTCTTTGGACGGCTGGCAAGTCTTTGTTAATGCAATCAATTCTGCTGCTTGTGCACTCAGCTTCGGACTGAGTGGTGAAGCCACCACTGCTTCATTTTCAGTAGTTACCGAATAACCTGTAACCCGGTTACTGTTCAGATAATATGAGGACCCGTCTACGCATAGTTCAAGATCAGGATCTGGAAATGACACATCTGTTAAATATTTTCAAGCCTTTTTAGCTTAAATGGGTTGTTACCACACATTTCTTCCCCAGCTGGATGGAGTACAGTAGCAGGGTTCAATGTATTGCATCATTTAACTAACTCTTATGTTTTCTGCTGTTCAGCGAATCAGCTCATAACGATGCATTCGCTGTGGTGACAGTGCCTGGGTAAGGTGCTGACAGCAGCATTTCAATTCCGTGTGGTACCTGTACCACTAGAGGGGATCCAAGCACGATGTTTTCACTCTGTTCAACTAGGAGTGCTGCAGCACCTGTCCTAGGGACACAAGCAAGGGATCCCTGAGCTGCCAGACTGTACTGGTTTCGGCTGGGATAGTTTAGATTTCTTCATGTCCGAACAAGGTAAATGGCTTGCTGTAGTCTGGTAATCCCAGAGCAGGAGCAGTCATTAATGTGTGCTTCAAAAGCTCAAATGCCTTTACCTTGTCTGTTGTCCAGTGGACGGGGTCTCTCCAGCATCTTGAGCAGTAGTTCGTCTCAGGGGTTTTGCCATTTCCCCAGAATCAGCTATTCAGGGGCGGCAGAATCTTACAGCTCCTGAAAAAGCTCACATTTGCTTTTAGTAACTCGTTGAGGAAGATTTTGAATTACTTTAATACAGTCCTTGGGTAAATGACGCTCCCCCTGTGATGTTCCCCAGGGCTCAGTATTTGGGCCAGTTCTGCTTAATATCTTTATCAATGATCTGGACGAGGGGATTGAGTCCACGCTCAGTAAGTTTGCAGACGACACCAAGTTGGGCAGGAGTGTTGATCTGCTGGAGGGCAGGAAGGCCCTACAGAGGGATCTGGCCAGGCTGGATCGATGGGCCGAGGCCACTGTGTGAGGGTCAACAAGGCTCAGTGCCGGGTCCTGCACTTGGGTCACACCAACCCCATGCAACGCTACAGGCTTGGGGAAGAGTGGCTGGAGAGCTGCCTGGCGGAAAAGGACCTGGGGGTGTTGGTCGACAGCCAGCTGAATATGAGCCAGCAGCGTGCCCAGGTGGCCAAGAGGGCCAATGGCATCCTGGCTTGTATCAGAAATGGTGTGGCCAGCAGGACTAGGGAAGAGATTGCCCCCTGTGCTCGGTACTGGTGAGGCCACATCTCAAATCCTGTGTTCAGTTTTGGGCCCCTCACTACAAGAAGGACATGGAGGTGCTGGAGCATGTCCAGAGAAGGGCAACGAAGCTGGTGAAGGGTCTAGAGAACAAGTCTTACAAGGAGCGGCTGAGGGAGCTGGGGTTGTTCAGCCTGGAGAAGAAGAGGCTGAGGGGAGACCTCATTGCTCTCTACTACTACCTGAAAGGAGGCTGTAGCG